GAGAGAAGAGAAATGCAGAGGGCTCTCCCAACTACTGGTTCATTCTACAAGTGACCACAGTAGCTGCAGCTGGGCCAGGCTGAAGTAAGAAGCCTGGAATTCAGGTCTCCCACATGGGTTCAGGGGCCCAATCATTTAAGCCATCTTCCACTGCTTTTCCCAGGTGCATTAACAGGGAACTGGACTGAAAGTGGAGCAGCCAGGACACAAATCAGTGTCCGTGTGGGATGTTAATGTCACAGGCAGCTGCTTAACTTGCTGCACTGCACTCCAGTCCCAGCATTTTTTTCATCTCTGATGATAGCTTGTATTCTTCGACACATCCTCTGTTCACAGAATTGTCTCTGTTTCCTACTTGGGCCTTTGTTTGCTTCATTTGGGAGGCTTTCTTTCAAAATCTAGTTATTTTGTGATTTCCTATCATATTTAAGAATGAGTTCCTGGAAAGCTGATTAGAAATTTTGTGTGGGCTTCCAATGAAACAAGAGAGTAACTGGGAAATTTCTGATGGAAGAGGTTTGCCAAGTATCAGTATCTGTGTCTTTTCTCTACAATGGTTCCATTTCCTCTGAGAAGCATCCTCCAAAAATCTTGGCTTTTTATTAATAAAACACTTGGTGAGGCTGCCAGCAGTAAGAAGCCAGACATTTTGTTGTTCAGATACAGAATGTCCCTTATTTCCCCAGTTACGGATTGCATTTCTGGTCCTGCCTTTCTCCGGGCTCAGTGTCCCTGAGTCTAGATAACCTCTGCTTGTTTCTCCACAGACTCCTGCAAAAGGTGGAGCAAGACGTCCCAGGTGACAGGCGTTTGTGAGAGTCTAACCAATTCTTATGCAGACTTTGAGATGAGCCCCCCACTATCACACCATGCTGACTTCTCCCTAAGCCTGCCCAGAGGACTGCAGGGTGAGTCAGCCTGCTTTCCATCTTTGTCTCCACCCACAGGCACTTGGCTCTGACCTTTTTCCACTCTGCTAAGTCATGCACCATTTTTCCACCCACTTTCCATCTTTGTATTTTGTGGTTTAGGGTTATTTATGTCTCATTAGTTTATCGAAGACGGGGCTTGCATTTCCTTTTCTTATGTTCCCTGTTGTTTGGTGATGGGTTTTGATTTTTTTAAGTATATACGTATGTCTTATTCTGACATCTTAAAGCCAAAAATGTGTAGCCCTTACTTGTTCTAGTTTTTTACCACATCATACCCCCTTCTATTGCCACCATTCTGATTCAAAATTCGGGGCTTCTAAACTGGCTGAGTAGCCACGCTGGTTTTACTGGCTTCAAATCTACAACATTTAGCTTTTTTTAAAGAACTAACAAGTTCCACATCTTCTTGCCATGCCCCACTTACAGTGCTTGTTGTCTGCAGCAGCCTGGGGATAGTGTACTTTTCAGATAGGCGGGCTACTTCCTGTTTATCTAAGTGCTGCTCTGTTCTCACACTTCTCTCTACACCAAGAGACTGACCTCTATGGACCAATCCTCTACTTGCTGGCTACTCTCACCAGCATCAATTCTTGCTCCCTGCATTGCTGCATTTCTCTACTACCATAGCACCTGAAATAAAACTTTCTGACTTCCTGAGGAGATTCTTTACAGGTGCTTCCCTTGACCTTGCCAAACCTCTGCAGTCCCTTTACTAACTTCTCTTCAACTGCATCCCACCATGATATTTTTTTGCTACTGAGACATTTATACACCAATTTAAAAAGGAGAGAGAATTTTAAACTAGATTATCTCTAAACTCTCTTGAGTTTTCATATCCTTGAGATTTGTGAAATACAGTTGTGCTAAAGACTCAGAAAATTTGGGTCTTCCTTTCAATCAAGATTCTGATTCTAGCGAAAGGAGGAGAGGAAAGGACAGGATAGAACTTTCCAAATAATTATATTCATTCCCTAGAAAATGTCAGTATTTTTGTTCAACATAGCCTAACAGGGACAGCCAGAATATGTGCATTGTTCACCCTATGCTATAATCTTTGGAGTCAGTTCGGACAAAAAGATTTGCTATTTTTGACCTTGAAAAACAGAGATAGCCACAACTAATTTGAAAGGGTTTCTTTTTCTCTCTCTTTCCTTCTTTTCATTCACCCTACCAAAGAGTCAAAAAAAAAAAAGAAAAAAACTTCTACCAGTCTTTCATAAAAAAGAAATGAGGTCCTTGACTTTCACCTCCCTCCAAATGCTAGATGATCTCCTTTTCCAGGCATCTCCAGACTTTTCCATTTTCTATACTCTCATAGATCATTCAACCCACCCCTTTCTAAGCTCTCCTTCCCCAAAATTTTTTCAGCTTGTTTGTCGCTCTAGTAAGTGGAGATTTTCTAGGCCCTGTCCTACTTTACCTCTTAGCAGCATCTGACAACACTGCCACTCCCATCATGAAACATTCCCTTCCCTGCCTTTGCTGCTATTTTCATGGTCTGGCTTTCCTCCTACTGACTGAAGCATCCAATTGCATCAGCGGACATCACCCCTTACCCAACTGCAATGTTCATGCTTAAGGGGCTCTGCCCTCATCTTCCCTACTTCCCCTCTACTACTAGAGAGTTGTTCTCATCAACACCTATGAATTCAAAACCTAGAGATAATACTAAGGATTCTCCACTGGAAAATCATAAGCCTAGATCTTCCTCCTGAATTTCTGAGTCTTTTTTTTTTTAACATTTAAAGAACTATAAGGATGCAGAGACCCTCATCCTCATTTGTCAGATCAATTTTCCAGCAAATCTATTGTTCATCAACATTCTGATGAACAAAGCCAAAGATCTAGATAGAGTCTTTGATGCCTAATGGCCCCCACCTCTACATTCAATCAATGACCAAGCCCTACTGATTCTGAGATGTGCCTTGAATCTTTCATCCAATCCATTCTTACTACCACTTCCCTAAACCAAACCATCCCCTTACAGAAAACTTATTACACTCAAATCTAAACTTTATAATATAATCAGAGTGATCATTCTAAAATTCAGACAGGATCACATTAACCTCTTTCTATAACCCTGTAATGATTTTCCATGGCAATCAACATAAAATCCAAATTTCTTGACATGGCTTACAAGGCCTACCATCTGAGCTCCTTTTCTGCTATCCAAGTTTCTGTGTACACTGGTATTACTGAATCCCTTAGTTCCTACAGCAGGCCAGGATCACTACATGACATTCCTTCCATCTGATATATTAGTACATTATCAGCACTATCATCCCATTAATATTCCAGATCTTCTATGTGTGTTGCCAGGGACCAAAGTACCAGGTAGTCTGATATGTGTTTGCAGTGCGGGTATTCCAAACAACGTCTTAAGAAGGAGACCAAAAGTTTACCCCTCCAATCAGTCTTGTCTTTGGCTGGCTCGCTTGCTCTCTCTCTCTCTCTCTCTCTCTCTCTCTCTTTCTCTCTTCCTACCTCACTCCCTGCCTCTTTCTGTCTTCATTTTTTCTTTTATACATAAAGTGAGAGAAATACAGACATCTTTTATCTGCTAATTTATTCCTCCAATGCCTGCGATAGCCAAGTCCAGATAAGCCAAATTCAGGAGCCTGGAATTCATTTATGTGGGTGGCCTCCCCATACCGGTGGCAGGAACTCGTCCTTTTAAACCCCCACTGTTGCCTCCCAGGATGCACATAAGCAGGAATCTGGAACAAAACAGACCTAGGACTCAAATCTAAGCATTGCATTATGCAATGCACATATCCCAAGCAGTGCCTTAACCACTGTACCAAATGCCCCTATTAGTATTTCTTGGCTAATACCTACAATTCCTTGAAATATGGGTATCTCAGGTGAGATGTCGTCCTATACATTAAAAATCAGTTAAATCTGTTTCCATAGCACACATCTTGCCCAACAGCCAGACTATATTATAACTGTCTATTTAATGTTTCTATTCCCCCTTTTAGACTCTAATATGGTAAAGGATAGGATAGTATCTTTTGTATCTCAATGCTTTGAACATCACTCAAAACAAAGCAGCCATTGAATAAAAAGTGGCTGAATGAAAATAAAAATAAACAAACTATCAGACTGAGAGTTGAGCCTATTTGCCCTGTTTTCTCTCTGCTCTGAAAACAAATAATAAATAGGTATCCTTCCCTGCTATCACCCACAATGAGCCATTGCTTACAAAGGACTAATTATGTACATTTACACAAAACACTAAGGAAAAGAATTCTTTTTAGCTTTCTCTCGCTCTCTTTTTTTTTTTTTTTGCCTTTCCCCACATATAAAACCTTCAAACTAAAAATTTCAATACACTTAAAAGAGACTAACGATGTTACACTGACTTTCTCTTGACTTGCCTGATGCCTAGTCTGTTCCCAATATATAATCTTGGCAGTGTCTTGCTGGGGGAGAAAAGGACCTACAATAACATTTCATTTGAACCAGAATGTCAAAACTTTAATTAAAGCTGAGCACACCTGCTCTGAACTGCAAAGTCTGAGATTTATGTGAACTTGTAAAGTTAATGCTTTCTGGCCCCTTGCAAGATTTATATATCCTTTAAGTAAGCATTTCCTCTTTCTAATGCAATGTTTTTAAAGTTTATGTCAGCAACTAACCTGCCAGCATAAACAGAATTTCTGCTCAGTTCTTTTATTACCTGTTCTTTATCCTTTTTACCCACTGCTTGTCAAATATTTAAGGGTTTAGCTGCAAATACACAGACCTAACCACAAGAGCTAGAATTTCCTGCTCTGAATTTAACTTGTTAATGAGGCAACCTAAATATACCTTTAAACTGCATACTTAATCCAAGAATGTTTTTAATACAATCATTCACAGACCTGTTCACTCATTGTTTCCAGGTATTCACTGCCTTACAGTGACTGATCAGAGGCAATACTTGATGAGTTCTCATACTTGCCCACCTGTGCTGTCCAGGGAACACGGGTTTTATGATAATGGAAGATATTCTGATTTTGAGATTTTTACACTAATGCTTTTAGAAAGAAAGGATCCGGGAGCTCTACTTTCAACGGTGGTTACCTTAGATAGGCTCATTCCCAATGCTGTGAGTGTCACCAAGCCAGCACAACAGACTAAAGCACTGGAGCTGGAGAGGCCAGAACTCGGTGGAATATTTCCATCTACCAGGCAGTTCATTCCGGTCAGGTCACTGAGACCAAAGTGTTCCTAAAAACATAGGAAAAACAGAATAGTCACTGCAGTGTTGGATTTAAGGAGTAGTAAAACCTTCATTTACCTAAAGAACAAAGGTGTATCGGTAGGCTTCTTATGATATTTATAGAAACTAGTTGTACAATTCTGCCTAGTTGGGACTATACATGACATTAAATGGCTCTTATCCACAGGGCAAGGCAACCTGAAATTCACTTTTTACTTTATCCAACAAAAAGCTATGTTTCCTCAAATGTCCTTGAATGTTCTTTTTCTAATATATTTATTTTGAGCAAATACAAATAAGATAATGTTAATTGAGCTTGTCAAGTGGCAAAATGAGTTAAAACTCCATGCAGTACACGTCTAGCATTCAGCTCTTATAAAAACATTTAACCAGCAGAGAAGTGGCTGGTTTCTATGCACTGTCTTGCTTCAGAAATTCCACTGGAAAACCAAGTTCCAAGCCATTTAAGTTCTGTTTTACTTATAGAAAAACCTAGGCGCCAAGAGATTAAGAGACTTCCCCAGGATCACACGTAGGGAGCTGGGACTCAGCCCCAATTCTCAGATTCCCACTGTACTTAGAGATCTAGGCCAGCACACTGTCACTATGATTTAATATAAGGCAGCTATATGAGGAAACCCAGATTTTTTCTCAACTTTATAGATGTAATTTAGCCATATGGTAGTTTTTAACACAGCCAAATTAGAATTCAGCCACAAATGAGAAAGCAGACTCAAACAAGCCAAGGAATCGCTTTTTCTACAAATAGGGAAGTCCAAAGACATAATTAGGCTCGAACTTGAAGGCAGAAAAGTTTACTATACTTACAGAACTATCTCGGACTGTGACACTTTGAATGATATTGTATAACCTTTGTAGTTTAGGATTAAAAATAAATTCAAGATTACCACCTCCTCAAGAAGTATCCTCCTCATCTTTGCAAATTACCCAAGCAACTCAAGACCAAAGTATGAAATGCTATTATGTTACCTAATTATGCATTTCATCATCCACATTATTCTACGGAGAAATTTCAATAAACTAGTTAGAATAGCCAGAGTAACAACAAAACTCTGCAAATCAAAGGCCGTTTCTTTCCTTAATTTTTTTTGTCCTGTTTTCCTTGCTGGCAAAACTCGTGTACCACAAAAGAAGAGATTCAGTTGGATGTGCTTTTCTTCTTTATTTCAACTCATCGAAAAATTTCTTTCCAAAAACACATTATGGCTGCTGCTATTACCCTTTCATATAGGACAACAGATAGCTTGTTCAAAAAAATAACAGTAATCCTTGCAGCATCCTACATAATTAACTATAAACTGATTCCAGAGTGTCTTCAATGTGGATCATACTTGCAAACTTATCACACGAGTAAATTAATATGTACAACACATTCAAAAATGCAAATGGATTGTGCCAAGATCTGTAATAGCGCTATCCTGAAAGGATACATGTTCAATCTCACATAAACACATTATTCTCTGGAACTTTTTAGAATTTTAATTTGTAAGTTCCTGAACAAACATTTACACTACTTTTGTGCTAGACCTTTGCATACACCTGCTTTTGCACGTGAGTTGTCAAACCAAAGAACAATATTCAAAAACAACACAAGGTGTGTTATTTAAGTCCTTCTATACCCAAAAGCTACAAAAAAGAATGCTGTCATATAGAAGATCAAATAGGATTTGCCAGAGCAATGATTTCAAATACTATAATCTGAGAAAAGCAATGATTTAAATATTTAAAACCTGCCAAAACTTTCCCCATAAGTGAAGACCCATGGTGTCTAGGAGAAATACGATACACACATACTCAGAGACACAAACATGAAAATCAGTAATGAATACGGTAACTTTAAGACCAGATATCACATGCAGAGCTTCAAACCATGCAGTTGACGCATTTCTGTAGTGATTATGCCATCGAGTGCCAGGCTACTCATTGACAAAGTTAGACATGGCCACCAGGCAGTCAGGAATGAAAGCACTCTAAGACATGGATTAGTTTATTTGCTTTTGGCCTAAAAAGCAAAATCTATCTTTTATTGTTCTTTGGCCATTATTCTGTACAAGAACAACTACCACTAACATAATTATTAAAACAAAAATTGCTCTAAAATCAAAAACCCACTTTCTATTTGCCCTTTATAGTTTTAAAACATGGAAGTGCAAATATTGCATTGTTCTTGCAGATAACTTTAGAGACTTTTTGCAGCATTTACTTGATGTTTCTAGGAAAATATACCAAGCATTTCACTACATCTTGTTTAAACTCCATTTAAGGTAAGCAGTAACAATACAATCTACCACTTATTAAATCCCTACCAGCATAAAAAACTGTCTTTAAACAATCTCTGTTAGGAGAGCAGTGACATCATTTACAGATAAATTTGAGGCTTATGAGGTTAAATTACACATCTGAGTAGTCAGATTAAAATCCAGGACTGCCCCACTCTAAATATATTACAGTGTACCCTTTTATAGCTCAAGAACAAAATACAAATAGAATTACTAGTTATAAACAGTGATTCAAAAACTAAGTAGGGGAGATTTGCATTTGGCACAGCAGTAAAGATACCCACATCCCATACTGAAGCAACTGGTTCAAATCCCACCTCTGTTTCCAACCCAGCACCCTGTTAATGTGCATCCTAGAAGAAATGGTAATGAACCAAGTATTCAGGTTATTTCACATAATTGGGAGACCCAGTTTAAGCTGGTAGCTCTTGGCTTTGGCCTGTTTTGTCCCAGAAGTTGCAAGTATTTTAGGAGTTCAATTAGCGAAAGAGCTGATTCCCTTTCTGTCTTCCAAATAAATGAAAGAAAAAACTAAGTGATTTTAAAAATATGACAGATGTTTCTCAGATGTTCCAGATTTATGAACAGCTAGTTACATATGAAAGACCACTAACTCTCCTAAGTGGCTAAGACAGAGCAGTGGACAGCACGCCCAGAAGCACTGCACATGGAGGATGATATGGCTGTCCATTGGGACCTGCAGAAGACATCTAGTACCATAGCAGAAGAACAAGAGCAGAACAAATTGGGCAACTACTCCAGCCACGTAATGGAGCAAGTGTCTGGTGAATGGAGACTCTGGGGTGGACTGATCAGCCAATGGACCTTGGAAGGACTTCCTCATCCTTGGATCAGCAAGATAGATAGCACTGCAAAACTATCAAATCCACTCAAGCATAATACTTGGAGCAGGCCCCATATCGGGGACCCTGGGATATCATCCGGTGACCATTCCCCATCCTGGTGTACTGGAATAGTGGGGAGGCTGAGTAGGGCTTCTCCCCTAATTTTTTCCCTTCCCCCAGATGCAGGAAGAAGAAGGAGTAAGATTTGGAAACAATGGTCTCACCCTGGTCAGACATGTAAACATCATCAAAAATAAAAAATAAATTTTTAAAAAAGGCATATTTTTTAAAAGACCACTTGCTGTGAACTTCATCCAGAAAAAGTCACATTTCCCCCATTCTCTGAAAAGTAAATTAGCAAAACAGAACAGAAACATGTTAGTACTGACAAAAAACTAAAAACAGCAGATTTTTAAATCTGACATGAAACATACCATAATTTCATTTGCTAAGTAGATGCTTTATTTTTAAAAAAAATTTACCTGAATTCCTTTAAATCCACATAGGAAATAGTTGTGCCACAGAGGCTTGGTTTTGTCAATCTGAATGTTATTCGAACTAGTACTGAAGTCTCTGCAAAAACAAAAGATGCCATTAATCTAAATCTGGAGGCGTTGGAGCTCTAAAATCAATGGCTATCTGCTGCCACCTTGTGCCAAAACAGCGATACTGACATATCCTGGTCCACTGACTAAATTTATGTATTTCATAGTCTTCCCCAAAATAACAAAGATCTCTGGCTCCTAACAGTTCACAAGGGAAGCCGTAGTGGCCTTAATGACTAAACTACCTCCAACCGACCCTTTCTAATTCCTGAAACAGAGAGCAACCAACAGATGATGGCGTACTTCACCACCGTTTCTTCCATGTTGCTCCTTGGCAAGCAGCAGTTTACCTGCTTACCGCATGAAGATGCTCTCTTGGTCTGCTGCTCGGCAGAGCCCTGGCTCAGGCAGAAAGACTCAAAGACATATTTACCCATCCTCTCTGCCACCCGTTCAATTTTACCACTTTCACATTTGAGGAAGAAGAAGGAGCACAAAAATAAATAACTCTAGTAGAGCACTGCACATTGGTTTTTAATGTACTCAATACACTGACTATACTTTGGTAGATAAAGAGAACTAAAGGTATAAAATCCAAAGCACTTGTAGGGAATACTTCTGGGAAAGGGCATGCAACCTGCATTGTGTGTTTTAACCATGCACACTTCTTTGTTTGAATTTTGACTTTGCAATGAGCATGTTAGCTTAGTATACATTTTAGCAATTACAAAGTAAGAAATAAAAAAGGCAGGTAGCATGTTTATATAAAGAAACAAAACAGATAAATGAAGAAGATTGAATTCTTCCTTACAGTAAAATGCCAAATAATAAAAAGAAACTTCAAAAAGTTAACAGAAATTGAATTAAAAAATAATGCATACTTTGCACAAATCTTCCAAAATGCCTTTATACATGTAGAAGATATGACAGATGGAACCAGATGCAATAGCCTAGTGGCTAAACTCCCCACCTTGCATGTGCCAAATCCCACATGGGCACCAGTTTGTATCCCAGCTGCTCCACTTCCTATCCGGCTCCCTGCTTGTGGCCTAGGAGAGCAGTAGAGCATGGCCCAAAGCCTTGGGACACTGCACTGACATGGAAGATCCACAAGAGGTTCCTGACTCCTGGCTTTAAATCAGCTCAGCTCCAGCCACTGCAGCTACTTCAGGGGTAACTCAGCAGACAGAAGATCTGTCTGTCTGTCTCTCCTTTCTGTAAATCTCTTTCTATTAAACAATTAAAACAGGAAAGGAGAGGAAGGAAGAGGAAAAAAGAAAGAAAGAGAAGATTGAAGTAGGAATTGTAGCACAGTGAGTTAAGCCACAAAGCCACTGCTGGAATGCCTTCATCCCATATCAGAATGCCTGGGATGGAGTCCAGCCTTGACTTCCAATCCTGATGCACTCAGGAGGCAAAAGGTGAGGAGGCCAAAGTACTTGGATTCTTACCAGCCATGTGGCAGGAATTCCTGGTTGTTAGCTTCAACCAGCACAAAAAATGTATAACATGGAGGATCAACAGGAAGAAAAATATATATATACTCCCAGACTGACTGTTCCCTATATAAATACCTACTTAGGTGCTAATCAGTGTAGTAGGAATATTCAAACAATTATTTCAATTAGCAAAATGGATATATCACCTCTCTCAAAAAATATTTAATGACTATTCAATGTACAAGACATGCTGTGAAAACCACAAATCCTTACCAGGAAAGATCACATTCGATAATGTGTAATCTTGAGTGGACTACGAGGCTGGGCGTATAACATTCTTCCTAGTTGGCCTTCAACAAAGAAGGAAGATCTTCTAGGAGGCTCAGAGAGGTTTAGTGACCTGACAGGTGCACACAATCTAACTGTAGCTAATATTCACCTAATTGCCACCCACAGAAGTTCAAATACTTTGCCAACAGTCAATGGGAGAGGGGTCAAAGAATTCACAGGCAGATACAATGGTTAGCAAATCTAATAAGCTTTGTTCCTATCTAAAAGAAGATCACAAAAGTCACAAAGAAAAGACCATAAAGGAACTGGAGGGAGGGGATTAGGCAAAAAAGAGGGGAAAATCCACACAGATGCAAGATGGCAATGAGCTGAAAAGCATCGTCTCCTACAGGAGTAGAGGTACAGCTGAATGCTGATACCAAAAAGAGCCGCTCTTCCACTATTCACCCTTGCTCTTTCCACTATATTCTTTTGACTCTCTTCTTAACTACTTCCTGGGGTTCAAAAACAAGCACTCCCTGCTAATAAGCATGAGAGCTGGGAATGAGGGCAGACCAACCTGGGTCGGGCTACAATACCTATTGGCCTACAAGTGAACTAGGTTAGGGGTAGAGCCCGGCTGGGCTAACTGACTGTACCCACTGATACAGTCATGAGCCGGTGTAAGGGCAGGTGGGTTGGGCTTTGCAACAGCATCAGCTGGCTAGTGCTGGGACTGGGTGCAAATCCTGTTGAGCTAGACTGTAGAACCTCCTGCAAGATCCAGGGCATGGAATAGGTCTAGTGGGCAGGCTGTGGGCACCTCTCTGATGGGCTGCACTCCCATTCGCAAACATGAGAACCAGGACTGCGGATGGACTTGGCTGGACAGGCAGTAGCACCCACTGGCACGAGTGTGAGATGGAGGGTGGAGTCAGTTGGGCTCAGTTAGGCTTCATCACCCAGTGATGTATATGAGAGCTGAATGGGATGTGGGACAGACCAGACCAGTCCACTGCACATGCTGGTAGGCACAGGAACCAGAGACAGCAGCTGGTCCAGTGGAGGTTGTCAGGGATTGCTCTGACTGGGATTCAGCTCCCCCTGGTGTACGTGAAGGCCAAGCATGTGGTGGGCAGGATTAGGCTGGACTGCAGCACCCACTGCTTTGTAGAGGAAGGAGGGCAGAACAAACTGATCAACTACCCCTGTGTTTGCTGTGAAACTTGACAGCAAACTTCAGGCTGAATGGAGACCCTGAGGTAGACTATGTCAATCAATTGACCTTGGAAGGATTTCCTAATCCTTGAAGCAGTGATATCAACAGCATCTCAGAACTATTCAAACCACTTCAGTGCAACCCTCAGAACGTGCTCCACAACGGGATCCTGGGATGACACTGGGTACTGGGAAGACTGGGTGTGGTCTCTCCCATTGTATTCTCCCCTCCCCCAGATACAGAAAGAAGAAAAAGAAAATGTTTAAACAATGGTCTTGCCCACTTTCCCCTAATTCTTGACCCTTCCCAGCCTGTTTGATCAAACAAAAAAACAAGCACTCACTTTGACCCAAACCCTTAAGCCTGAATTATACATCCTTCTACTTTTTCCTTCCCTGCTGCGTGCTGCATTCTGAGGGGAAAACCTCCTGAAAGTGAGCTATCATGACTCAATTCATCAATACTTTTCATATATGCATCTCACTCATTCACTTATTCCAACAAATATTTTCCAGGTGTCTACCCTGTGTGTGTCACACTGGGCTAGACCATTTATAATAACAATGCCAACAAAACACCATGAAACACTTAGAAAACAAGGCTGTACCCTGACAATGAAACAGTTCTCAGAGAAACTTAAGAAGACCAAAAATAGATGGAAAGTTACATGGTTTCATTCGTTGAAAGATCTGCACATTGATGATTATAGATTCCACATAACCACAATCAAAATCCCAGAATGATTTTCTAAGACAACTGAACAGGTGACTCTAAAGTAAAAAGTAAATGCAAAATATCTTTCAAAAACACAACAGTAGAGAGTTGTTACACAATCTTATTTCAGGACTTCTTATTAGATAATGTAGTACTAGCATAAAGATAAACAAATATGAACATTGAATAAAACAGTCCAGAAATAGACCCATAAAGTTATATATTTTCTAAACTTTGCTGCTGTATTTGTAATAATATTTAGCTTGAAACACAAACCCATTATAGCCAGACAACAGGAATTTTTCAGGTCCATTATAACTTATGGGACCACTACCATGCAGACAATCCATCGTGGACTAAAACATGGTTATGTAACATGTCTATATATTATTAACTATATATTATTACCAGCTAGGTCTTAGCCTGGGGATTCAAATATCGCTCAACATGAGAAAACCCATCAGAGCGATTCATCATGTAAGAAAAACTAACCTTCAACACTGGATAAACATTTAATAAAAACTGATACCCATTATTAATTTTAAAAATCTTAGTAAACTAAAAAATTTAAAAAGAAACTTAACTTGATAAAATGTACTAGAAACTTACACTAGACTCTATTAGGCATTGGATTCTCTGTCTCACACTGAGGCTAGAGAACTGAAGAGACAATGTTACCCCCAGTCATGGGGCATGCCAACTGTTGGGGGGTGCAGGTAAGCAGAGCAAAGAACAGCAAGATCCTATGATAAAGGAATTAATATGCCACGTTAACAGGACAGATACTAGGCCTAACTTTGCTTAGTTAAATCAGACTTAAATTAGACTTAGCTAAATGAGACTTATTTTAACTATCTCTAAGCAAGATCAGAATTACTGTCAGCTGGTATTTAAGACAAGACTAGCACATGGTAGGTAAATCTTCGATAAATGCGTTTGAAATGAATGAACAAATAAAAAAAAATGAACAAACACTAAATAGTGGCCTTAGATTCTTTTACATTTCAGATGCAGAATGCCAATAAATTACATTAGTGGTGCTAAATTTGGTCATGAAGAGTTCTTTCGGGCTCAAACACCACCACCACCACCACCACCACACACACACACACACACACACACACACACACACCCTCAACCCAGTAATACTAAATACTCACGGATACAAGGGGTTTGTGTTGGCCAGTTGGAGAGTGTTCGTTGCCACGGGTTCCACAGCTATTAACATATCTTGCTCTACGGCCATTGGAAGTACAGAATATCCACAGTAATCTATATGCTCTCCTAGAGAGAAGAGAAAGCATGATTTATTATTGCTAGCACATGACAGCTTATGCTACAAAAGGGAGTATACCAGCATGGATGCACACAAAAGAAAAACCTGACAGCAAACCACATTTAACAAAAAATAAAAGGACAACAGTGGAGTTATTACCTTTTCTTCCTCCCTCTCACCTGCCAGGGCACCCAAACCAGGAAGTTTTGCTAGCTATAAGTATATCAATTATTCCTTTCTGTTCATTTGTGGCTATCCTTCAATCTTAAAGGCTTGCTTTTCAATTTCTAATTCATATTGATCACTTTCTAATATTTATGTAATGTGGAAAGTTATATGAATATAAAGTCAAATATCTCCTTTTTCAGTTACCTTTTTCAATATAAACACTCAAGCCTGGTGCAATAGCCTAGTGGCTAAATCCTCACCTTGCATCTGCTAGGATTCCACATGGGCAGGTGCCATTGTATCCTGGAAGCTACACTTCCCACCCAGCTCCCTGTCTGTGGCCTGAGAAAGCAGTGGAAGATGGCAAACCCCATGATCCCATGTGGGCCCCATTTCATATCCCAGCTGCTCCACTTCCCATCTAGCTTCCTGCTTATGGCCTAGGAAAATAGTGGAGGATAGATGAGGAGAAAGCATTTGATAAAAACCAACATTTCTTCATGCTAAAATCCCCAAACAAGATAGGAACAAAAGAAACATTCTGCAACACATTCAAAGCAACATATGAAAAACTCAATGCCAGCAATACACTGAATGGGGAAAGAATAGAAGCTTTTCCATTAACATCTGAAACTAAACAAGGATGTCAACTTTCACCACCGCTATTCAACATAGTATTTAAAGTCCTAAGCAGAGTAATTAGACAAGAAAAAGAAATTAAAGGAATACAAATTGTAAACAAGAAATTAAATTATCTCTGCTCAGTCCAACATGATTCTATACACAAGAGAACCAAAAGATTCACTAAAGAGAACATTGGACCTCATAAGAGAGTTTCATAGGGTACAAAATAAATTAACATAAACTAATGGCTCTAGTTTACACAAATAACTCCATATCTGAGAAGGAACTTTTAAGTATAGTCCCTTTTAAAACAGCAGAGAAGAATCTTAAATACTTTGAACTAAATCTAGCCAAAGATGTGGAAGATCTCTATGATGAACATTACAAAACATTACAAAAGAAATAAAAGAAGACTTTAAGAGATGGAAAAATTTACCATGTTCCTAGATCATGTACTGGATCAGTACAATCAACATCATCAAAACGTCCATATAATCTAAAGTAATCTACAAATTCAATAAAACTGCAATCAAAATCCCAACAATTCTCAGAAATAGAAAAACATAGAAAACTCCATCTGGAAACACAAGAGATCACAAATAGTCAGAACAATCTTAAAGAATAAAAAGCAAGCTGGAGGAATCACAATCCCAGACCTCAAGACGTACTACAGAGCACTGGTGATCAAAACAGTCTGGAACTGGCATGGAAACAAAGATCAAAGGAACAGAAGAAACACCCCAGAAAGGAGTCCATACATGTACAACCAACTAATTTTTGAAAAGAGAGCTGAAAATAACCCAGAGAAAACACCCAGTCTCCTCAACAAAACACTGTTGGGACAACTGGCTATCAGCCTGCATAAGTAAGAAGCAAGACCCTCACCTCACACCTTATATAATAATCAGCTCTAAATGGATCAAGAACTTAAATCTGCATCCAGAAACCATCAAACTATTAGAAGAAAACATAGGAAGCACTCTGCAAGATATAGGCATTAGTAAAGATTTCTTAGAAAAGTACCAAAAACAAACAGTCAAAGCCAAAACAAGCAAACAGGACTACATCAAACTAAGAAGCTTCTGGATAGAAAAAGAAATTATCAACAAAGTAAAGAAACAACCAACAGAATGGAAGAAAATCTTTACACACTACACAATTTCTAGGAGATTAATACCCAGGATTTATAAAGAGCTTCAGAAACTCAAAGACAGCAAAACAATAACCCTGTGGAGAAATGGACAAAGGAAATGAGCAGGTATTTTTTAAAAAGAACAAAGTCAAATAAAAAAATGTTCGGGTTCCCTAGTGATTAGGGAAATACAAATAAAAACCACGTTGAAGTTACACCTAGCTCCAATGAGATTGGACTATATTAAGAATCTGCTAACACCACCTGCTGGCATGGTTGTGGGGAAAAAAGTACACTACTCCACTACTGATGGGAGTGCAGACTGATGCAGCCTACAGTGAAAGTCAGTAGAGTACTAAACCAACTGAAAACTGACCTGCTGTATTACTTAGCAATCCCACTCCTGCGAATACATCCAAAGCAAGTAAAATGTGCATGTGAGAAAGTGACCTGCAACTCTATGTTTATAGTAGCACAACCACAATAGCTACTATAGATATGGAAGATATGGAAACAACCCGATGCCCATCAAAAGAGGAATGGATAAAGAAATTGGTATATCCACTCCATGGAATACTACTCTGCCACTTAAAAAAATGAAATTCTACATTTGCAACAAAACAGTCCCAACTAGAATACTCTATGCTCAGTGAAATAAACCAATCCCAACGGGGCAAATATCATGTTTTCTCTGATATAAGGCAACCATCATGTAAAGTACAAGACGAATAGATAAATAAGTAAACATGTATATGCACACATATTCTCACAGATAAACTGTATAATGGAGAATAGCATACTAGGAAATGAAGATACATTACAGTATACATCTCTACTCTTGAATAAAAGGAGAACTCCCAACAAATCCGTTAAATAAACCTTGACAATATGATACTAGACTATCTACCATTGCCTATACCTACAAGGATATGACACAGTTAAATAACAGAATGTTGGATTTGTGACTGCTGCTGAAGCACTATACGATTGAAATAATACGGGAGAGAACAGAGTTGGGGAGAATGGAGAAGGAGAAGGAGAAAGGTGATCTGTAACATGGAAAATAATACAAATAAAAAATATTAATTCTTGGGACCAGCATCATGGCACAGTAGGCTAAGCCTCTACCTGTGGCACCAACGTGCCATACGGGTGCTGGTTCTACTCTCCACTGCTTCAATTCTGATGTAGCTCCCTGCTTATGGACTGGGAAAACTGCAGAAGGTGGCTCAAGTTCTTGGGCCCCTGCATGCAAGTGGGAGATTCGAAAGACGTTCCTGGCTTCTGGCTTCAGATCAGCCCAGCTCCAGCCATTGTAGCCATTTGTATGGAAGATAACTCACTTTCTCTCTCTCTCTCCCTCTCTCCCCTCTCTCCCTCTCTCCCTTCTTCCCTCTCTCCCTCTCTCCCCCTCTCCCTCCCTTCCTTCCTTCCTTCCTCTCTCCCTCCCTCTCTACTTCCCTCCTTCCCTTCCTGCCTCCCTCCTTCTCTCTGTAACTCTTCCTTTCAAATAAAAATAAATCCTTTTTTTTAATTACTCATTTGTTTGGGAGGCAGAGAAAGAAATCTTCCATCTGCTGTTTGACTCCCCAAATAGCTATAATAGCCCAAGCTTGGCCAGGCTGAAGCCAGGAGCCAGGACATCATCCAGTTCTCCTTCCTATGTGACAGCAACCCAAGTACGTAAGCCAACACCTGCTGCTTCCCAGGCATGTTAGCAAGGGTGGCATTAGAAGTAGAGTAGCAGAGGCTCAAAGCAGCACTTCATACTGGGATGGGGATGTCACATCACACCACAGGGGCTGCCTCCGCCTAATAACTTTTCTCTGCACGAAGATCATAGCTCCAGTGCCTTGCTTTCCAATGCACGTGGGCAACAATTTCTCAGTGCTTCAGTAACAGTAATATACAATGATAACTAAATATACTGTTCTTTCCTGATGGTTCTTTTATTTAAATATTTATTTCTTTTTATTGAAAAATTGGATTTGCAGAGAGAAGGAAAGATAGACAAAGACCTTCCATTCACTCTGCAAGTTGCCACAAAGGCCAGAGCTGAGCTGATTTGAAGCCAGGAGCCAGAGTTTCTTCTGGGTCTCCCACACAGGTGCAGGATCCCAAGGCTTTGGGCCGTCCTCTACTGTTTCCCCAGGCTACAGGCAAGGAGCTAGTCGGGAACTGGAGCAGCTGGGACATGAACCAGCATCCATGTGGGATCTTGATGTATGGACGGTGAGGACTTTAGCCACTAGGCTACCATGCCAGGCCCCTTTATGTTTCTTTTCAATTAAAGCACTAGCTAGAATGATTAAAAACTGGAAATAAATACATGCATGTTTATAGCAAACTGTTAAACAAATTATAAAATGTTAACTATTGTGAGATCATTATTCCTTATAAACACAGAAAACATGGAAATATATGATCAGTTAAATGCAAAACAAAATGAAATAATTATTATAATTAAAGCTATATAAATTATATACCTATGTATGAAGATGGGCAAAAAAATTATAGGTTGAAAATTATATGTTGAAAGTTATATTAAGTCATATTAATGTTACATTAATGATTCTAAAAGGGATCAAAACTCAAACTACTTTACAGAAGAAACAAACACAAAGATAAATCCACTTAGAAAACTGAAAAACATAGGCCACACTTAAAAAACACAAGGTTCCCGCGTATTCCTCCAATTGATGAGTCAATGTAAAGCCATTAAAACTATGACCACAGTCTAAGATTTTAACCTGTGTCACAGAAGAGTATATTCACCTTCCATTGCAAGCTTCCAAATTTAAAAAACCAACAACACAAAAACTGTTAATATCATGGATTGGGAACAGTAAACTATGTCCTTATGCAAAAGTATATCTTACTATTAGCAGATGCATGTGAAATACTTTATTTTGGGAAAAATAAACAAAAAAAATATTAACTAAAATTCAGGTCTTAACAAAGGAAGAGGGAAATTATATAGAAAGCACTTTGAAATACCTATTATATTGACTCTTCCTGGGGCTCGAACATAAAATTTGGGAGTGGATCCAAACTTAGAGTTAAACATCTCCTTCAGCTTTAGCAATCTGGAAACAAGAGTAGAATGTTACAGAATATCATATAATAGAATATACAAAATATACACCCAAAAAGCACAAACATTACATATACCTCTAAACATTAATTACTCCTTAAAAAAAAAAAAAAAGCAAAATCATCAGTGACATATCTTGAAAAACCACAGGATAATAAGCTTCTAACCTCCTAAATGGTAAAAGGTATAGTTAAGCATACTGAGGAATTTAAAGGTTAAGACTGATATACCCAATGGGGGAAAATCTGCAATTATAAAAAATGTAACTTTCTACACAATATTTCAAATGATTATCAAACTAGACATTATACAAAAACAAAAATAGCAGAAGGCATATTTGCTCCCTAAGGATGCCATAACAAAACGCCACAAATGGGGCAGCTTAGAACAACAGAATGCATTGCTTGCAGTTCTACAGGCCACAAGTCTGAGCACAAGGGTCCAGGAGCTGTGCCATTCTCAAACCCGGAAGAGATGCCTTCCTCTTCTTCCTAGAGTAACCCTCGCATTTCTTGGCTTAACTGCATCACTCCCATCTGCAATCCTGGCAGTGTCCCTCTGGCTCTGGTTTTCCTTCCTAAAAGGTCCCCATACACCTTGGATAAGACCTACCTCATCTTAATTTGATTACATCCGCAGAGGTAGTTCATATGAGGTCACATGCCAGGGTTCCAAATGGTCATAAATTAAGGGGTTATGCCATTTATTCAATACAAGTAGTCAAATGAAAACGAGTATGGGTATCATGAGATTACAGCTAAAATTCTAAAGGAGCCCCTAATTCATTTCCTTTGTCCTCTACTCTAAAATTTGAGATTTTTTTTAAAGATTTTTTTTTTTTTTTTTTTGGAAAGGCAGATATACAGAGAGGAGAGAGAGGAAGATCTTCCGTCCTATGATTCACTCCCCAAGTGAGCGCAACGGGTCGATACTATGCCGATCCGAAGCCAGGAGCCTCTTCCGGGTCTCCCACGTGGGTGCAGGTTCCCAAAGCTTTGGGCTGTCCTCTGCTGCTTTCCCAGGCCACAGGCAGGGAGCTGGAAGGGAAGCGGGGCTGCCGGGATTAGAACCGGCGCCCATATGGGATCCCGGGCGTGCAAGGCGAGGACCTTTTAACCACTTGCGCCACCGTGCTGGGCCCAAAAATTTGAGATTTTAAAATAGATAGTCTTCCAGATCTAAAATGCTTATAAGAGTCTCAATGCTTTGGGGCCCAGCACCGTGGCCTAGCAGCTAAAGTCCTCGCCTTGAACATGCTGGAATCCCATATGGGCACCGATTCTAATCTCGACGCTCCACTTCCCATCCAGCTTCCTGCCTGCGGCCTGGGAAAGTAGTTGAGGACAGCCCAAAGTCTTGGGACCCTGCACCCGTATGGGAGACCTGGAGGAAGTTCTTGGCTCCTAGCTTCGGATGGGCACAGCGCCGGCCGTTGCGCTCACTTGGGGAGTGAATCATCAGACAGAAGATCTTCCTCTGTCTCTCCTCCTCTCTGTATATCTGACTTTGTAATAAAAATAAATAAATCTTTAAAAAAAGAGAGAGGGAGATTGAATCATTTAGACAGTCGAACAATCTCTAGCCAATTCTTACAAGTAGCTTCCATTGTTTGTAATCCTGTATCATACTGTGTCCAGGTAAAAACACCAGCATGGGAGCAGACCTTTGGCACTGTGACTGAGACACCACTTGAGATGTCTGCATCCCATACCAAAGTCCCATCTTCACTCCCAGCTCTGGCTTCTTCATAATGTGAACCCTGCAAGGCAGTAATTAAAGGATGAAGTGGTTGGATTCCTGCCACCACTAGAGAGAACTGGATGAACTCCCTAGCTTGTGTCATGGGCCCTGGATAACCCTTGGTTAATGCACGTATGTGGAGAATGAACCAGCAGATGAGAAATTCTCTCACTCCATATATCTGCCTAACAAATAATTTTAAAATATCAGGATGGTAAATATTTATCAAAACCTACTATATTCAGGAAATTAAGTAATTAATTGATCTTAGACATTAAGAGGTTGCAAGAAATTCACACATAAAATCACAAAAGAAAGAAAGATAAATGTATTATAATGATAGAAGTGTCTGTTGAATATTGTTGTGGGTTATGTGAATGGGCTTTGGGTAATGGGACAAGAGCAAAAACCATATAGAAAATTCATGAAAGATATGAGCAAAAAATTCTTAATAAAAGATTGCTTAATTAGTGTTTAGAAGCACTGCAAACAGGATGAAGGACTAGCATCAGCATTAGAATGAGTCTCCCAAAAATTGTTTTAGTGAAAACATTCTGAATGACCAAACTTCGTGTCCTGTTATCCCAGACAGCCTGGAGAAGGTAGTTTGTTCCACCCAACAACAGTTCCATCACCAGGAGGCTTGCCATACAAACTCTTACTTTGAAATTCAAACACACAGAGACTATAAAACCAAAGGACACATTTTTCTTTAAGAACAGAAAGCACTGAAGTGTACAGTGGTTTTCTAATCCTCTGATAATGAAGCAGTGTGGTTTTAATGACAGTAGTTTGTACTTTCATCGCTGGGCAAGCTGCCACCAACAAGACAATATGTCTTACAATACTCATTAAAAGTATGTCCCAAAGAGAGTGTAACATCTTTGCCTTGACATCCAAGAAGGGGATGTCTCAAGCAGGTCCACCATGTTAAATGCTCACCCACCAATGAGTGTGCCCAATAAGAAAATAAGAGCTGCTGTAAGTCATATTACTAAAGGAGAATTAGCCAAAGTGTCACAACACAAGAGCTGACTCTGGTACCCCAAATGCTCTTCTGACATAAGATCTTTGCTATTTGTTTTTTAAATAACAGTATTAGTAACACAACTTAAGTTTTTTTTTTAAATGTCTGTAGTGAATGAAACACATTTTCCTGAATGCAATAATTCTCAAACTTCTTGGTTAACAGTAGAGATGGATGAATTAAATTTCAGGAGGTAAGTGATCTATTTTCTGTTTTCATGATTTATGCAAGTCTCCAAATCTCTCTTTGCTTCTGTTTTCTGTTCAATATATAATATACCCAATCATGCCATTACAGAAAACGCTGAGCTTTTAAAATATTTATTTATTTGAAAGAATTATAGAGAAATGAAAGAAGGAAGGGAGGAAAACACACACACACACACACACACACACACACACACACACACACACACACACACACACTAGCTACCAATAGGAATGCTAATAAGTTATGAATTACTTAACCTAAGTTTTCTTATGTATAAATTGAGGCTAATACTGTAACCCACTGCAATGCTTGTGATACTGTCATATTCAAGAATATTATAGGGATTGATAACATTTAAAATGCGATCATTGTTATCAGGAGCTGGGAAAATCTGAATTTCTATTCCACTCCTTTTATCACAATAATTTTTCCCTAAAGGGGCTAAACATAAAAAGACACCAAACTAGAGATCTTGAGACATAATATTAAAAACAGTAACTACTGAACAGAAGAGTCGAAGAGAAAATTAGTGAACAAGGAGAAAAGTTGAAGGAAAGGAGAAATTGTGACAAAACAGCAGCTTTTTTGAAAATTGAGGGCTCTACATATCAAAATCTACGACATGGGACCAGTGCTGTGACACTATGGATTAAGCTACAGCCTGTGAAACCAGTATCCAAATGAGTGTCAGTTTGAGTCCTACCTGCTCCACTTCCAGTTTAACTTCCTATTAATGTGGCCCAAGTGCCTGGGTACCTGCCACCCATTTAAGGAGACTGAGATAGTTTTAAAGATCCTGGTTTCAGCCTGGACCAGCCTGAGCCATAGCAGCCATTTGGTGAGTGGAAGAACATGAGAGGAACATGAGAGGTTAGAGGAACACTCTTAAAATTTTGTCCATAAAGCATATGATGAAGATCATAAAGCAGCATTCTTCCTAAGAGTCAAATAGCAGAAGAAGATGATGAGAGGGTGAAGAAAATATAGCATATCAAAACAACAGAATATTATTTACATGTTGAGTGAAATAACATACCCGATAAATGTTTCAACACAAATAGGACCTTGGAAACAGTGACAAACACACACACACACACACACACACACACACACACACACACATTCCAGGTGAGCAAATCTGTATAGACTGGTAAGGCAGGATCTTCAAGAAAGAGCAGTGAAAACTGCAGATTTCACTTATGCAAATAAATCATATTTGCATTTATGAGGGGAGATGGGCAAATTTTGTATGCTAAGAAATAGTTACCAAGATATATATTGGGCATAGAGTCCAGATGGGCAGATCTGTATAGACAAAAAATAGATGAGTGGCTGCTTAGGAAACGAGGGGCAGGGAATGGGAGGCTCAGGGATGACAACTGAGAGATGTCAGGTTCCTTCTAAGGAGAACATGTTCTCACCCGTTTATGATGATAGCAGCACAAGTCTGAGGAATACTTCAAAACACAGGTAAATTAGCTAGTAACTGGGCATCAATAAAGCTGTTAGAAAAAATAACAACCTAAAGCTTAATCTCAAAGAAGAGAAGGAAAAACGGGAGAGGGGGCCCAGGGCAGTAGCCTAGTGGCTAAGGTCCTCCTCACCTTGCAAGTTGGTGCAAGTTGGGATCCCATAAGGACACAGGTTCTAATCCCAACAGCCCCACTTCCCATTCAGTTCCTTGCTTGTGGCCTGGGAAAGCAATCGAGGATGACCCAAAGCCTTGGGACCCTGCACCCACGTGGGAGACCCAAGGAGGATCCTGGCTTCAGATCAGCTCCAGCCACTGTGACCGACTGGGGAGTGATTCATCCAACAGAAGATCTTCCTCTCTGTCTCTCCTCCTCTCTTGTATCTAAGTTTCCAATAAAAATAAAATAAATCTTAAAAGAGGAGAGGAAAAGAAAGGAGAGAGTAGAGGAGAGAAAAGAGAGGAGAAGAGAGTGGAGAGGAGAGAGAAGAGAGGACACTAGAGAGAGAGGAAACGGGAGGGGAAGGGAAGGAGGAGAGGAGGG